GGGATATAAGATGCTAGCAGGATCCTGTTCTTATGACTCTGAGGAAGAGGGTTGCCCTCAAAATGCGTCAGCTGTTATTTGGCCTTGGGATGGCTTTCATCTAGATGTCAGGGTCCATTGGCCTCCATCAGTCATTGTACCAAGTGGCTGTCATTTGTTATGCAAATTGTCATCACATGTTTTTGAGTATGTTTTTATCTATACTACAATAAATCTTTTTAGGATAATGCGGTAGGCCTGTACGCTTTTGCTTTGTCTTTTTGCAGTTTGGTCTGGACTACCCCAGCCATGTGCAAGAGCAGCAAGGCTTGGTCTATCTGTGGGACATCCTGATACATACACTCATTTGATCTCTATCAGGGTCACTGCCTTCGGTCCCCCATACTTATGCACAGGAGATATTTTAATTCATATTATTCACCAGTGGTGGACTTACCAGAGTCAGAAAGGTTGTGGTTGCAGCTGGGCCCTGGCATTCCACCTCCAGGCTCAGAGGTAAGAGCCCCAACCGAGGGTCAGGGGGGGCCTTCATGGTTTCTTGCACCGGGGCCCTGAAGGTTCTAGTTACTCCACTGATCACTGGTATCAGTCAGAGCAAAATAAGTCCTATTGTTGGTGTCAGTGGGAATAAAGTAAGTCTTATTGCAAATGTCGGGTTGAAGTAAAATGAGTCCTGTTATCAGCATCTGTGGGAGTAACAGTGGTGACAGTGGGTCTAAAAACAGTCCCATAATTATATTGGTGTTCACTTTGTATTAACCTAATTACACACTTCCATGCTGCTGGTAGTACCAGAAATTACAGCTTGGCATTGCCTGGATAATATATACATACACCACCAAACAAGAGGAAGGGAGAAGAGTTGAATTTTTGTTTTGACCCCATTCAAAATCCTCCGCAATCCCTTCACCCTACAGTTTACTTGCTGAATGTAGCCACAAATGTCCAGAAGTGACTAGAAGAGATAAGACAAATAAGAAATGATTTGTAAATTGCTGAGGGTAGGCACTGCCCCCCCCCCCCACCCCACTGGCCCATAACTGTTATTATGATAAATACAACCCTTACTATATATGTAGACCATAAGGTTTTAATTTGGTTCTCTATCTTTCAACCTGTAATTAAAAAAACCATCTGATGCCACTTTTGTTGTTTCGAAAAGTTTTATTGTTTCCAGGTAAACCTGTATGAATTCATTTTAAAACTCTAACCATTTAGTTAGAGTTCACCTAATTAGTCCAAACACCCTCTTGTGTTATGTATAAAGTCAATGAAGTTAAGTCTCAGCTCTGGCAAAATATATGCTAACAATGTGTGACTATATGCTCTTTATACTACACACATAGCAACCCTACTTCAGTGCTACATTAGCAAGGATTACTTGTCTAGGTTGTATTACAGAAAAAATTCTATTGAAAAATAAGCAGATATATCTTGAGTACCAGTGATTCCAATTACATGTTGTCTGGTTTCACATGACTGCACTAACAGGCTATTTTTTCATGACAGAAAGTATGGCCTCCTTTGACATTAATGAATTATTTCTGTAATTGGACAACAAATTTAACCAATAGTGCTAACATTTGATCGGAACCTTTTCATGGAGATTGGTATGTCAGAATATATTTGAAAACAATAACATAATGATAGAAGACCCAGAGAAAGAATCTGAACAAAGGAATTACAGTAGAATAAACAGATAAACAGTAATAAGAATTTTTACAATCAATAATATGTTAAAAACAAAATGTACACACTTGTAACTAATATTGCCAGAACTAAGAAAAATATCAGTAGCAGGAAAAACTTTTTGTTGCCTTGGTTAATCATATGGAATAATTTTGTTCTGATACAAACAATTTGATAATTGTGGATATTTAATTACCTAGAGAATTATTGTCCTTAAGTATAATCAAATACATATACTCAAATATACTAAAATATATAGATATGGTTTTGGGTCAATGGTTTTTTTTTTTTTTTTTTTTAAGTTTATACATCTTTAAACTGATGTTTTGTATTTGTTTTTTCACAATGTGTGCAAAATAAGTTTTACAAATAAACATTTAATACACTATATAGGAATCTCAGAGCACTGTAGGTTATTTACATAGACAGCCTGCCTTTTGACTCACTTTGCCATTTAGTAATGCATGGATTACAGTTCTATTATATTAACTTATGTGTATACATTTTCAATTTTAGTTACTGATTTCTGAAAACAGTTTTTTTTACAACAGGAAAGGAAAGCATGTTAAAAGGAGCATAAAGCTGCTGGCATAAAAGAAAATAAGTAATTTTAAAATACAATATTTCAGATCTGACTAAAAAAAAGAAAACAAATGAATACTTAATTTTTGTTCTAAATATAATATAGTATTAAACCCCTTTAAATATCCTTTATCAGATGTTTTATAGTATATCAGATTCACACAGATGCCCACCAGTAACAATGCATCAGAAGTAGAAGCAGCTAAAGTCGGATACTGAATTTAACAAAATCGTTGTCTTAGAAACAAGGTCATAGTAAATAAAACCAAAAAGTATGATCCTATACTACTGCTACATTCAATTGTCCACCTGCAAGACCTCTAGAACATATTCATGTCCATCTGGCCTACAGTGAGCCACTAAACCATATACATACAGTGCTTTTTTTTCTCAGAGAATAGGTGCAGGAACTCAATCATGTGCCCTCCAAAACAACCCCCCTCCACACACACACACATGCACATCTGCCAAGCGGCATCAAATAGTGGGTGTAGCCAAATTTCACTAACAGTGGGAGGGTCTTAAAGGGTTATTAAATACCAGAAGTGTATTTGGGTAGATCAAGAGTGCAGAATTCAGGGTTGCGTTACACACAGAGTGCAGAGTTCAGGAATGCCCAACATACAGAATACAAAGTTCAAGGGTACACTATGTACAGAGTACAGGGGTATGCTAAGTAAAGAGTGCAGAGTTTATGAATGCCCTACATACAGAATGCAGAGTTCAAGGGTACACTATGTACAGAATTCAGGGGTATGCTAAGTAAAGAGTGCAGAGTTCAGGAATGCCCTACATACAGAATGCAGAATTCAAGGGTACACTATGTACAGAATTCAGGGGTATGCTAAGTAAAGAGTGCAGAGTTCATGAATGTCCTACATACAGAATGCAGAGTTCAAGGGTACACTATGTACAGAATTCAGGGGTATGCTAAGCAAAGAGTGCAGAGTTCAGGAATGCCCTACATACAGAATGCAGAATTCAAGGGTACACTATGTACAGAATTCAGGGGTATGCTAAGTAAAGAGTGCAGAGTTCAGGAATGCTCTACGTACAGAATACAAAGTTCAAGGGTACACTATGTACAGAATTCAGGGGTATGCTAAGTAAAGAGTGCAGAATTCAGGAATGCCCTACGTACAGAATGCACAGTTCAAGGGTATGCTAAGTAAAGAGTGAAGAGTTCAGAGGTGTGCTACACACAGAGTGCAGCCCTCTTCCACAGTTGCCTACCTCTGCAACCCCATCAACATCTCACTTTCACCCCTCTGTACCTCTGACCTCTGCACAGAACCCCTCCACCTACACCACGACCCTTCCCGCCTATGACTGTACTGTACCTCTGGCAACTACATCTTTCTTATCCCTGTTCTACAATTAGTAGGATTTGCTCAGGAGAAAAGCTATCACTTGTGAACACAGAAGCCGGTTTTCTGTGTTTACACGTGATGGTGGTGACTGAGCAGGGAGCAGGGGTCCTGAGCCAGAGGTGGTGGAGCTGAGTTCCACCAAGTTCTAGCTGAAAAAATATATATACTGTATGCCCCAGGGAAAGACTAGTGCACCATATGCATATATAACACTTCTGAAACTAAATTTCTATATGCAATCTTGTAGTTTGTTAGGGTGTTGTCTCCATCATGTGGTATTGATCCATCCTGTAAACTCTTCCCTTATAAGTCCCAAGCAAGTTCAGCGTCCTTATAATATCATAATAGGTGGAGTCTCTGTGGAAGCTCTAACAATGAATACACATCTGTATAACTTACCAACACTCTGGAAGTTATATTGTGAATATAAATACTATACTTATTTATATTGTTTCAAATAAATAATTTATGTTATGGATATTTGGTATTATGATAAACACCTTAAGGCCATACACACATACGATTATGGGCATAAGAGTGCATTAAGTGGTAAGTCTAAATTCATTGAGAAAAGCAAGGTGTGGATAGGGCAACAGGCTCAATTTACACAGCTATATTACCTGGATAAGTATTTTTATTTTAGCCACATGACTGTAATTTTTAAATGTCATCGGCCTCAGCTGAAAATAACTGTTGGAAATTGGTATCTTTATCCTGTTGTGTTAGCTTTGTGCATTTAACCTAATAAACAGAAAAGGGTGCAACCTAGTTCTCAGTAATGATGAGCAGGATGTACCTGGATTTGGTTAGGTGTAGGTTCAGTAAACTTTACTGAAATTATGATGCCGATTCTGAACCCTATTAGATTCAATGGGGAGTCGAATCTTAACTACTTGCCCTCCAGAGGATTTACCCCCCTTCCTGACCAAGCCATTTTTTGCGATACAATGCTGGGTTACTTTAACTGACAATTGCGCGGTAATGCAACACTGTATATAAATGAAATTTATGTAATTTTTTCCCACAAATAGAGCTTTCTTTGAGTGTCATTTGATCACTTCTGTGTTTTTTTTATTTTTTGTGCTATAAACAAACAAAAAATGACAATTTTGAAAAAAAAAAAACAATATTTTTGACTTTTTGCTATAAAACATATCCAATAACAATTTTTTTAAAAATCTAATTTCTTCATACATTTAGGGCAAAATGTATTCTGCTATATGTCCATGCTAAAAAAATCCCAATAATTATATATTAATTGGTTTACATGAAAGTTATAGCATCAATACAAATGGTGGTGTATATATACTGAATTTTTTTTTGTTTTTTTTTATACTAGTAATGGCAGCAATCAGCGACTTATAGCAGGACTGCGGAGGGCATTCTGACACTGGGTGGGAACTGACTAACTGCCACTGACATCTCCAGTGACACTAATACAGTGGTCCGTGCTAATAAAAAGCACTGACACTGTACTAATGACACTGGGCAGGAAGGGGTTAACATCTGGGGAGATCAAAGGGTTAACTGTGTGCTTTGTGTGTTTTACTATGTGTGCTGTGTGCTGTGTGCTGTTTTACTTGGGAGACATGCTGCTTTGTATCTCTCTGATGTCCAGAGAGATACAAAGCAACATGTCCATGCTGACAGAAGAGAGAGAAGAGAGACCTGTGATGTTTACACACAGGTCTCTCCCCTATCAGCTTTGCCGACGATCACTAAGTGCCGGCCAAGAATCACCCGCCGGGACCTGGTGAATGACATCCCCAGCTGCCAAGAGCGCCCCTTACCCAGAACTGTAAGTTTTATATAGATAGATAGATAGATAGATAGATATAGATATGTGATTTTGCATAGCCGTGCTGCCCTGTAGCAGTACTTCTGCTATAGGGCGGATGGCAAGTGGTTAGCAATGACCATTCTCTAGGGTGATAGGCAAGAGATTGTCAAAGAATAGGCATGGGGAGCAAAGTATAGTATTTGAAACTATTGCTCAGAGGTGAGAGGGTTTTTTTTGGGAGCTGATGTTAAAAATACACAATTCCTTTAAATAACATGTTTGAGAGATACTTTAAAGCTGTGCATGGTTTTACAGAACATTACAATTCTCAGCATCAGCAGCACCTTACTGATCACCACATAAATTGCATGTGTAATAATTTTGTTTACTTTGCTACTATTCATTGACTTACATACAGTATAGCTGCAGCATCCATCTGATTGATTTCCTCCCAAAAAAAGTCTTTATTAGGTAGTTCTTGAAAAGACAACTGATGTTTTGTGTAACGGTGATAGGCCATAATTGAGCAGTGGAAGTAGCAGAGACAAAATAGCTAAAATCTATCAGAAAGAATATAGAATAACATAATAAAGCTATCAACTTCATACAGATTGCCAACCAGTGTCAAAACAAGTCACATGGCATATCTTGTGAACTTCATTTTAGTATCACACTGTATTTGTACAAAGTGCAAAAAAAAGTGTGAATCCAGAGTGCACCAAAACCCCTCAAAACTACAAACCCACATTCAGCCTCCTAGTTCAGAGATGACAGCTACAGTAAACACAGTGGCATAGTGGCCAGAGAGCATGTAAGTAGTTTGCTTGGAGCCTGGGACAGCAATGTAAGAGGGAGATTTAAGTAGATGTTTTCAAGAAATAACAATTTGATATTGATATTTTAAAGATAGCTGCAATAAATATTGTACAGAATTGGCAAGCATTTGTTCTTTGCTGCTATGTTACAGGAAGAGATAAGGCATATATTATTGTGAAAAAATTATGGTTTTTATGTCACAGTAAAGAACCAAATGTTCGCAAACATCATGCACACCATGAAAAGCATTATTACCAGGTTGCAATAGAAGACAAAGAGACTAGATATGCTTTATCGTGAAAAAAATACAGTGAACTTTTTTAGAGCCACAAGCCAGAAAAATGCAACTGATTTGCTTGACAGTATGAACACCTTATTTGCTAAGAGTCAATGTCAGAGTCAAAGAGCAGGCAGATTTCCCATGGAATAAACAAATATCAGTGTATTTTTGGAGAAAAATGAAAAAAAAAAAAAGTACATAGTTCCAGCAGCATTTTTAAAGCCTTCTTTATAGTCTGATTTTTCAGAGGGAGAGCGCAAGCAGATTTCAGCTAAACAAAATCAATTATTGTCTATCCTAACAGTGAAGCCTAAAAAAAGTACAGATCTGAAGCATGACTTTCAGCTTTATTGGATAGGTCACAATTTTTAAAGGAGAGAGAAAGCGGACTGCATCTGGAAAAAAATGTGTTTTTTTCAGGGACTATAGATGGAAAAATGTTACAGATTTGCACCGCAGCGTTTAAGCCTTTTGAGCCAGGTCACAATTTCAGAGGCATTGAGTGGGAATCTTGCATCTAGAAATGAAAAATTTGTGGGTTTTTTTTTTTTTGCTTACACATCTGAACCATAGCTATTAGGCCTGGCCAAAATTTTTAAGCAGCACAACAGGCATAATGCATTTGAAATTAAAAATCTGTGTCTTGATTCAGACTGAAGATTGATAAATTTTACAATTTTGCACCACAGCTTTTAAGCCTGTACGGACAGGCTACACTTTCTTGGGGCGGGTATTGCATCCTGAAATAAAAAAAATAGTGAATTTTTATTTTAAATTAAAAAGAAGAAAGAAAGAAAAAGAAGCACACCTTTAAAGCTTTTATTTTATAGGCTGCAAATCTGAAGAAGAGAGAAAGCAGAGCTTTTTTTGGGACTGAAGATGGAAAAAGTTACAGATTTGCATTACAGCTATTAAGCTTTTTGGACAGGTACAATTTCTGAGGGACTCAGAAGACACATTGCATCTGGAAGAAAATTGTGTCTTGTTGGAATTAGTGCCTTGATTTGGAAAATTAACGTATCTGTGCCACAGCCATTACAGCTGGCCATAGATGTGATTTTTTATTTAGCCAGCTGGTTGCCTTAAAAAAATAACAGATTCCTTCAGCCACAAAAACAAGGGGAATGCAGAAATAACCACAGTCAGGACATTGTATTGTGGCATTAAAGATCTCTACTGCAGGTCCCGATTGACAAAACCTTTCCAGCTTGTTTGTTTGACAAATGTTGTTCTAACAAGTAATTTCTGTCAAGCAGGGATGTCCCCACACTGATCAAAATTTAACTGGACCCTGCTGAACTGGTCAAATTTTGATCTGTCTATGACCAGATTAAGTTTTTTTGTACTATCCTTTATTTATGACAAATATAGAAGGCATATAGTATATGTAAATTTGAAAAAAATAAAATAAATAAATGGCTTTTTTATTTTTAATTGAAAAAATAAACATGGTACATATTTGCACTACACATTAAAGCCTCGATTGACAGGCCACAGTTTATAGTGATATAGAAGAACCAGACTGTATCTTCCCAAAAAAAAAAAAGGCTTTTTTCAGTCTTATAAAGGACAGTTGCTGCATATTTTTTTTGCACGTACAGCTATTTCTGAGGGACAGAACAAGTAGATTGCTGCTGGAAATAAGACGTTGTTGCCATTTTTCAAAAACTAAATAAAGACAGCATATTTTAACAGATTTGCACCCCAGAGTTAAAGCCTGTTTGAACAGGCAACTATATGTGAACTAGAGAGCATGCTGGTTGCATCTTACAATAAAAATTAGGTTATTATTTCCAGTACAGAAAGGAGAAAAATATATAGATTTGGGGCACAGCTATTATAACCTTTTGGACAGACCAGTGATTTTGAGGTAGAGAGAGGAAGCAGAATGCATCAAGAACACTATATAAAACAGTTTAAAAGTTTATTATAGCATTTAAGCTACTATATACTATAATATAAAAACACTATATAAAAATTGTATAGATTTACTGAACAAAACCTCATCCTTTTTAATTTGAGGCAATTTTGAAGGCTGAGAGTGTGCAAATTTCAACCTAAAAAATTAAATGAAAGATAGTATAGAAAACTGTGTGGATTTACTGAAGAGAAGCTCATACTTTTAATAGGAGGCATTTTTTGAAGGCAGAGAGAAAGCCTATTTTAGCCTTAGCCAAAACTGTCTATTTTTCAAACTCTATAAAACTATAACACCTGTATGGATTTATTGAACATAATCTCATCTTTTTTTAAGCGAGACAAGCTTGAAGCCTGAAAGTAGGCATAAATCAGCCCCTTATATTAAATAAAAATTTATTTTTTTGCTAAGGCAATATATATATTTTGAACAGGTTTGATGCAAGGAATTGCACCTTTTTTTCTAAGAAATGGCAAATATAAAAGCAGGAGGAAGCCATTTTTCAGCCAGAAATAATTGGTGAGACTTTTCTTTTTCTCAGACACTAAATTAAAACTGTACACAAAATCTTATCTTTTTAATAAGAGGCAATTTCAGAAGCGGAGTAGGAATATTCAAGCCAGAGAAAAATTAAATACTATGAAATTTTTCAGAGACTGCAAAAATATTTAAAAAAATTTGATACAAAGATTCTAATCCTTTTAAATTAAGTGTAATATTAGAAGAGGTGAGAAGTTAAATTTCAGCCAAAATATTCAATTGGACTGTTATTTTTCTGAAACAAAATCTAAATGTCTTTCACAGGATGGAATTCAAAAAGAACAACAGGCAGATTTCATCTTTATTTACATAAAAATATTGTGTTCCCCATGTGACAAAGGAGAAAAATGTTGAAGAAATTATCAGTACAGATTTTCTTAACCACTTGCTTCTCAAGCTGATTGTGCCACTTCTCACGTAAATGTAAAAATCAGCATATTTTTGCTAGAAAATTACTTAGAACCCCTAAACATTCTATTTTTTTTAAGCAGAGGCCCTAGAGAATAAAATGGTGGATCTTGCAATTTTTTATGTCACACAGTATTTGTGCAGCAGTTTTTAAAACACTTTTTTTTTACAAATAAATACACTTTAATGAATTGTATTGTACAAAAATACAATATCCTACACAACTGTTTGCTAAAATATAAAAGACGATATTATGCCAAGTAAATAGATACCTAACATGTCATGCTTTAAAATTGTGCACATTGTGGACAAACTACAGTACTTAAAAATCTCCATAGTTGCCACTTTAAAAGTATTTACAGGATACCAGTTTAGAGTTACACAGGATGTCTGGTGTTAGAATAATTGCTCTTAATATAATATTTAGGGTGATATGTCACACGTGTGGTGCAAACACAGTTTACATATGCGTGCACAACCTACTTATGTGCTCGCTTTTGATCATAAGCACAGGGGGGACAGGGATGCTTTAATATATTTTTTTTATTATTATTATTATTTATTTTATTTTTTATTTTTACACTTTAAATTTTTTTGATCATTTTTATTACTATCACAAGGGATGAACATGATAGCATGAACAGTGACAGCTTCTCTTTACTGATACATCTGGGGTCTATTAGACCCCAGATTTCTCCTCTGTCCTTAAAAGCATCTGATCAAAGATTGGTGTGACAAAATACTCATCGCTTCCAGTTTCTTAGACCATTCCAGGGTGAGACTTAAGCCAATAATGTTGTTTTTGCAGTGCCCTCTAGGATGCTTAACTGGGCTACTCCCACCACACATCTAGAAAGTTCTGATTAAATCCAAACCTCTAAACAGGTGAAAATCAGACCAAATCCTTAGCTCATCCCTAGTTCTCAGTAAAATATGTTTCTTTAGAGAGAGGAACACCTATAAGGTTCAGTTCAATATGACAAAGTATTAAGAAAACTCACAGAGTAAAGATCAA